TTTATATTTAATTGTTTATATTATTGCTGTATGCTGCTGCTGCTGCTGCATGCTGCTGCTGCTGCTGCATGCTGCTGCTGCTGCTGCATGTTGCTGCTGCTGCTGCATGCTGCTGCTGCTGCTGCATGCTGCTGCTGCTGCTGCATGCTGCTGCTGCTGCTGCATGCTGCTGCTGCTGCTGCATGCTGCTGCTGCTCCTCTCTAATGCATGCAAGCAGCAGAACCAAGCGATAGACAACTATACATTCTTACAATAAACCGCATGCATGCATACATGCATGCATGCATGGATCCGTGCATGCATGCACCAGGAGCGAGTTTGGGGCTGTGTTTTGTGCTTTTTGTTTTCGTTTGTTCTTCTTTTGGTGTTCTTTCGGGGTGTAACACATCCACAGCAGCAGCAAATGCATCTAATGCATAGCTAGACAGCAGCGGCTGGCAGTAGCTAGCTGCAGCTAGCTGTAGCTAGCTGTAGCTAGCTAGCTGTAGCTAGCTGTATCTAGTATCTAGCTCTTTGCAGCTAACTGTCGCCAGCTCTAGTCTTTTGCATCTATCCGTAGCTAGCTGTAGCCAGCTGTAGCTAGCTGTAGCTAGCTGTAGCTAGCTGTAGCTAGCCGCATATCTATATGTAGTTATCCACAGCTAGCTGTAGTAGCTGGAGTTATCTATAGCTAGCTGTAGCTAGCCGTAGCTAGCTGTAGCTAGCTGTAGCTAGCTGTAGCTAGCTGTAGCTAGCTGTAGCTAGCTGCAGCTAGCTGTAGCTAGCTGGCAGGCACAGGCGAGCAGATACACTGGGTTTAGGGTTTAGGGTTTGGGGGTTAGTTGCTGCATGCAGCGCATGCAGCAGTAGGGTTTAGGATAAAAGTGCATGCAGTGCATGCAGTGCATGCAGTGCATGCATGCGGGGTAGTTTGGGGCTGGATTTCTGTGCATGCAAATATTGTTTGTGTGTTTATGTAATTTGTTTGTCTGGTTTTCGCCTTTTTGTTTTTTTTTTTTTTTATAACCTTTCTCTCCTCTTTATCTTTATCTTTATCTTTTCTGTTTATAAAAATAAAAATAAATAAATAAATAAATTATATATTTTTTTTTTTTTATATATTTGGGGTGTACATGCAGCTCAGCTACGCCAGTGCTGTTTTTGCTGAATTTATAAAACTTCTTTGGGCCCACTCTTTTTCTGTGTCTCGCATATCAACAGTACCTAATTCTATTTTATATGGTTTCAGACAAAAACGAGGGCCCACCTCTGTTAACTCTAAACCACTCCTGCTGCTGCTGCTGCTGCTGCTGCTGCTGCTGCTGCTGCTGCTGCTGCTGCTGCTGCTGTTGCT